TGTTTACTTCTACCAATAAATTGGCTGGGATTAAACATAATACGACCATATGTCTTGAAAGTAAAGTGTAGTTTTGAGTTACAGTCACGTGAGTCACTGTTTAAATTTGCCGATACACACATCCCGTTCTACTTCTGCCACAAACCGCAAGTTATGTTGGTGTGTACGAGTCGGCAGCTACACCTTCCTTTTGTACCTTCTATTCAGACACAACACTTGTAAATCGTAATCTATTACCTTCATTGTCGTTATGGTTTCTTTGTCTGAGTCTAGTGAAGTATCTAAGATAGGCAATAACGGCTGAACGCTACTGGGGTTAGTGTCAGTGGTGATGTATAGTGGAACAGGGCCGGGTTAAACACATTCGACATCTTGGTGTGGTATGTACACTTGCTTGGAAGCTTGGAGATATATTACACATCCGAATTTACAGACTTAATATTAACGTCGTCGCTTATAGAAGAGCTTCATCAACATCACTGGCATCGTCGTACGGACCTGAACAGACACGTGGAAATATTAGAAGTACACATGTACTGTAGGATATCCAATTGTTGGCATCGTGTATATTTTCATTTCCTGTCCGTGGATTCCTTCCTTAACAAAGATGACAATATGTCAGTTATATGATTTAAGTGCCGAGTTGAGCAACAAAGAAATATTACCACAGAATACATAACTTCCATAGATTCCTTTTTCTATAAGGTCACGATATGGCTGAAACATTGCCGATGTGATTATAAACCATAACTCACAATAACTCACTTTTTCTATAATTCTTTCAATTTCATATACATCACATTCCCAAAGATGGAATCAATTTGCAAGATTGCGTTACCACCATGGACTCCACAAAATACCACGGATATACACTTCCACTGATTTAATTTTTTCGTATATTTCAACATGTCTATATATTTCTACATTTTGACACACGCACGTACGCACGCACGCACGCACGCACGCACACACGCACCCACACACACACACAGACAGACAGACACACAAATGCAGTCCAAATTACGCCAGGACTACCACGGCCCGGGACATCAGATATGGGCTTCACACAGTGATCAGATATGGGCTTCACACAGTGATCAGATATGGGCTTCACACAGTGTACCTATATGAAAAAAGGAACCCGGGTTTTCTCGCTTGACGAGAGAACGCTTAACCACTAGGCTACCTCAGCACCCGCTGTCCAAATGAAACATACTGATGGACATATAATGACATGAATGCATGACCACTGGCAATCAGCTGATGTGGAGGTTGGCGGTGCAAGCGATATTGGAACACATTGCAATGAAACTGGTATTTGAAATAAGACAATGCCAGTGCATTGATGACGTTCAGATGAGAACACCCCATCCACCACGCCCCACCCCCCTCTATACAAATGTAAGGCTTCACTATACAATAAAACCATTCTAACAATGGTTTGGACGAATGTGTGTCTTCCAACAGAAGATGTCCTGTTACCGTAGAGCCAGTTAGGTATAATGACTTATACTGACATTGAAAAACAAGTTTTCCATAGTAACAAAGGCTTGGAAAAAAGAATGTTCTGACTTAAGAAAGAATTCCCTTCCAGCTGTTCTACAGAAGTCAGTGGATAAATACCATCACCTCAACCACCACAACAAAATGCTCACCACCTCAATGCCAAAAATGTCCCTTAAGTCCCAAATCCCCCTTTCTCCATCCCCTCAATACGTTCCACCTACATACCCTCTTGTACCCTCCCTCTAAGCTCACTGATGTCCTATTAGGTTCTGCCTAACACAAGGCTGCATTGTCCGGGGGAGGATGGTGCACGCGCGGCGTTAGTGGCATGTGATCTTCTCTGTCTACTGTCAACACCAGACACACGACATCCTAGTCCCTCTTTGGTCCCCCCTCAGCCCTCCTTGCCACCAACACATCGCACCTATTGTTTTACGCACAGCTCTTAACACCTCTTTTAACTTCTAACGACTCTTGTTTAATATCACTGGTCAATGACATCTTGGAACTTTGAGATGGACATGGGAGAAATTATTGCCCTCTGTTCACGACTCATCCCGTCTCGTGGTTGCTTGAAAAGCTTTCCCGCAAAAAAACTCTGTAAATAATGATTAAACATGTTGACAGTCTCGTTGTAAAAAACACCGATTTATTCGTTTCAGCTAATGGATTTACACTGTCTGTGACAAAGTAATATCTGACTTATTGTAAATGTATTAATAATTCACTATTTTAGAAACAGATCTATTTATAAATATATCTAGGAACTTCGTAAATGAATGTACCGTTTCAGCAAATATTAATGCAAAAGAAATACCCCTTTGTCTATTATCTTTTTTACATTACATGTATGTATCTAAAGATATAAGAAAACATATTCGAACAATAAACTAAAGATATATGAAATTATATGAATTGCAATAAAGAAGTAAGTATAGCTGTATAATATTATGACTGTGTATTAAATATGAGAATGAATGTCTTTGGGGGAATTGCTCTCATATCATTCCTGGAACAAGCAGTATGTTAATATTAATATCCCTGATATTATAGATGAAGTCCTATATTTGTTGTATTCCCTCTCTGATATTGTATATGATCCTAATCAGTAGAGGCTGTAGCCAAAAACAAACATAAAACCAATACCCACTTCAAACATGCCACCACAAGAGAAAAGATAATATTCCCTGAATATGTTCATGAACAGATATTTAAGCCAGCCCTTTATTATCGAATGCTCTATCTCCTTTGTAAATCCTATCGAAAACACAGTCGTTGTTGTTTATGCCGTTAAAGGATTAACGTTTTCCAATCAACTCTTCGTATTTGTTGAACATGTTGGATTCGTGTTGATAAATCCAGTCAATTGGCCCTCGAGTCTCTCGTTCTTCTGCTGTGGAATGCCTACCCGCATAAAGTATTTTCATTCACTCCAGATGAACAGGCATTCTTCATCTGACTGCTTCAACATAATGAAAGGTTGATCCGCGAGTAATCAGCTGCCACGGTTATCAACATAAGGGCATTGCAGGTTATTTTTATATCATACACTGTGATACGTGACACTTCAGGTTAAACTGATCCCCAAGGAAGGTGGTATACAGTCAGTAGAAGCTTCGGGGCTGCTGCCATATTGCCAATGTTGAAACGGGAATTATTTTGTGAAGTAGTACGGAAATTATTTTGGCAAATAACAAAAAATGGTTTTGTTAAGAAACACAGAAATTATTTTGTTAAAAAATATACTTGCATTTAACATGGCAACATTATTGATAATTAACTGTTGTTTGTAGGGCGGCGTTGTGATTATTGCAACATAGTGCAACTCTGTATGGAATCTTTGTCATATCGGATACTTGTATTGCATCTTAAATGTCAGTAGCAGCAGTCTTCAGAATAGATTACGTGTCCTTCAGCAAATGCATTTGCAGATTTTCTGCAATTTTTACCTTCTTTTTTTCAAATTCGATTTTATTTAAATATAACCAGAAAAGTTGGGCCAGTATTTTTTTGTGGGAAATATATTCATAACTACGTGCATTTATATGCTGGCCTACGATTGGTGCATAATATACAATCCTTTCATCTGTAATAACCAAACACTTTGAGTGCACTATTATTAGTAGGAGAGTTCACTATGATAATAATGTTAGATAATTGAATATACAATATCGATAGTTCAAATATTTATTAGTACTGTCCAACAGATGGGGTATCAAATCCACACAAAAGACAACTGAGTTTACATATGTAAAAACGTCTTAACAACATTTACTACTCAAAAGAAGTTAAAGAAACAACGATCATGGCATGACGTGTAACAACAGTCACATGACAACATCGAGTGTTCTTTAACTTATTTCGAGTAGTATATTATGGTGATAATAAATTCATTTGTTATAAATTGTGAAATGTCCACCCTATGTGTGTTAATCTTTTGTGAAATGTCTCTAAATGATATTTATATTTAAGTGATGTATATTTGAAGCAACGCCAAAATCATGTTTAATGTACAATATGTATAGTGTGATATGTTTCGTTAATATCAAACGTCAACGCCGGGGAATAACCAATCTCGAGAACCACGTGCAGGCAAGCCCATTTTGTGATGCATACGGCCGATCCCAACTCCTAATCTATTTGAATTTATATATTTAACCACTGAACCTTTTGGCGACTCCAGCGTTCATGATCAGGACATTACTGATTATCTTGATGTAGACAACTCTGTTAACAGCTCTAAGCTGTAGGTAAGGCTGTAGTTCCGGATGTGTTATTATGAAGCCCGTGTTCCAATGTTTGACCAACACCTTGCGGACAGTGTGTTCTATGCTTGACCAACATGTTCTGGTCGGTGTGTTCACTTTGACTGCCATGGCGTAAGCGGTGTGTTCTATGTTTTGCGGCCATATTGTGGACGGTTTGTGTTCTGTGTTCTATGTTTGACCGCCATGTTGTGGACGATGTATTCTATGTTTGACCGCCATGACGTAAACGGCGTGTTCTATGTTTGACCAACATGCTGTGAATCGTGTTCGATGTTTGACCGCCAAGTTGTGGACAGTTTGCTCTATGTTTGAGCAACATGTTGTGGAAGGTGTGTTCTATGTTTGACCAAAATGCTGTGGACGGTGTGTTTTATGTTTGACCGCCATGTTGTGGACGGTGTGTTCTATGTTTGACCGCCATGTTGTGGACGGTGTGCTCTATGTTTGACCGCCATGTTATGGACGGTGTGATATATGATTGGCTGCCATGTTGTGGACAGTGTGCTCTATGTTTGACCGCCATGTTGTGGACAGTGTGCTCTATGTTTGACCACCATGTTGTGGACAGTGTGCTCTATGTTTGACCAACATGTTGTGGACAGTGTGCTCTATGTTTGACCGCCATGTTGTGGACAGTGTGCTCTATGTTTGACCACCATGTTGTGGACAGTGTGCTCTATGTTTGATCAACATGTTGTGGACAGTGTGTTCTATGTTTCAATGCAGTGTGTTATGATGCAGGTGGTGGCCAGGGAGGGCTGGGGAAGACACGCAGACCGAGGACGGCGTTCACGTCGCAGCAGTTGCTGGAGTTGGAGAGACAATTTAAGCTCAACAAGTACCTGTCAAGACCCAAGAGATTCGAGGTGGCGACCTCCTTGATGCTCACAGAAACACAGGTGCGTGTGCGTCCGTATATACACACACAACACTCTCCTATGATTCTAACAAATCACAACAAATTATATCAATAAAAGTGTAAAATAAAAGCACCAGCAAATAATTATTACGATTTTTATAACATCATAAAAGGGGATGAAAATCTCTCTCTGAAATATATTTATTTTCAAATATATTTAAAAGCAACGCCAAAATCATGTTTAATGTAAAATATATAGAGAGAGATATGCTTCGTTAATATAAAACGTCAACGCCAGAGAAAAACAAGTCTCGAGAACCACGTGCAGGCAAGCCCATTTTGTGATGCATACGGCCGATCCCAACTCCTAATTTATTGGAATTTATTAATTTAACAACTGAACCTTTTGGCGACTCCAGTGTTCATGATCAGGACATAACTGATTATCTTGATGTAGCCAACTCTGTTAACAGCTTTAAGCTATAGGCGAGGATGTAATAATCATAAAAGAGGATGAAAATGTCTCTCTTATACGCAGTCGTATCTATGGACGCCTGTCCGTTGTACGGGTGGGCGACAGTGTCAACCATTACAGCCGTGCCAGCGCATCAAGACCACTGTTTCGAGAGTGTACATGTATGCCACTGAATAATTAGGAAGATATTCTTTCACAAATTTAAAACAGATATATAGCATAATCAATTACAACAGAATTAAAAAATAAAACATACCTAAAACATTTTTAGAAAGAGGAAAGTTGCTAAAACTTTGTCAAAGAAACAAATTGAATATTATCATCTTTAACGTGTAAATCAATATGTAACATATACAATAAACATATTAACAAGCAGGGATGTATAATAATATTAATATGCTTGGAACCATCGGTTAGTATTATTGAACATTACAAAACATTATTATTAAGTCTTTGGTCGGTCATGCAAAAGCCTTGGATCGATACAGAACCGAACGGTCTTCATTGGTATCCAATTTGCACTTAATGACAGAGAAAAACGCATAATCAAAACACTAAAATACCTCGCAGGAATCTTTACATATTAACCGATTAAAATGCATAAAATGGGATTTAATAACACATCTCTTTATTAAAAATTCTTCCGTCTCCACCAACTGCCCTCGCCATGTACACGGTCTGAGTGACGGCAAGGAGACAAGGAACAGCCTTCAACCACAGTGTAGTTAAATCACATTATACATAATATTATTGGTTTTGTTGTCAATTTAAGTACGAAAGACTTTCTTATAATCATCTGATTTGCTTTTAATGCGTTTCTAAATCCTTCATCTCGCATATTATCGCCTGAGTCTCGCGACGGAAGCACGCGGATTTAACTCTGCCTTCGGCCTAACCGATAGCCATGGGTTAAACTACGAAGGGTGAATATAGCATGGGAATGGTGTTCAGGACTTGATAACCTTTGTCTTGTTACCTGTAATAATTGTGAATACATATCTCACCACTAAGCTGGTCGCCCGTACCCTACAGCCGTCACCTGATTCGCACAGAAAGGCGGGGTCGGTGGGATGGTATTTGCGCGCTTGTTTTTCCGTCCGTCAATTGTAATCACGAAAATTTCGAAGCCCTGTGGATAGTGTTTCAGCCTGTCGCGCCAAAGTCGCGGGTTCATTTCCACGCATGTGATTACCAGGCACTCACTCACTCCACGAAAAATACGTAAGTGTACATTCCCAAAGTCGGTGTTGGCAAAATATATTTAAAACAGATGATACGTTTTAAAAATATCATTCGAAGCGGTGGGGTAGCCTAGTGGTTAAAGCGTTCGCTCGTCAAATGAAGGCCCGGGTTCGATTCCCACAAGGGTACAATGGGTGAAATCCATTTCTAGTTTCCCCCGCTGTGATATTGCTTGAATATAACGCGGCGTAAAACCATACTCACTCACTCCCTAGAAATACCATCCGCTATTTGAATAACGCTGGCTAAAGCTATATAAACTGTTAATTCTGTACAATATTGATGTGTTATAGATGAAAGTATGAACAAGAAAAATGTTTTTCGGGCACCATATGAGAGTCTTCTTGAGATTCCTGTGTTAAAAGCAATCAAGCACCTCGCTTGTAAATGTCATTTAATGGAATTTCAAGCGCACCTCACTGGCAACAAGTCAACATCCCTCAAAAGACTTTGACTAAGTTGGCAAACTTCTCATTGACAGGCGAGTCCCGTTCAAACTGTATGTGTGTGGAAGCGTTTAGCTATGTGTATATGGCCTTTTAACTTTATACTGCCAGTATCAACCTGGCCAATTAGATCAACTTTAGTCGCCCACTGTCAAATTTGGCGGGAACAATGGGCCCCCGTGTTTGGCAGAAGAGGTCGAGCGCGGAGTCACGGAGGATAATAGAGATATAAGCGCGTGTAAATGATGCCCCGCTTCGTGAGCCGGCTGCCAGGGGGGATAGGGGGACAAGCACGTCTCGCAACAAGGAGAATTTACCCAGCAAACATGGTCGGTACGAAGGCACACGAAATCGGAAACAATATCAACCATTGTTCTGAAGAGTATCAGAATCAAGTGTAATCGTTGTACTACTTCGGTTGTCTCCCTTAGATTGTCACGAAGCGTTAAGTTTGTGAAAATGTGCTGGAAATGAGTTGTTAAACTAAAATGCCTGCTTTCCTTAGAACTGTTTCAGATCAGACAAATTCACTTTGTCGACCCGAGCCTTGTGATGATCTAACTCGCATGTTGCAAATGACATTTTTATGAAAGTTATAATCTCTAGGAAATATTCCCTTAGAAAGCTAGAATGATGAAATGAAAGTTGATATTTGTCGGATTATCTTCAACATAAACTACACGTTTTAACAAACAAGCCAATCTTTCTCCCTTTGTTCCTGGTCCTAGACAATGGATGGTCTCATTCGGGTTGAAGAGCGCGTGCGCAGGAGGGAGGGTTAATATTTCCCTATCAACATGGCCGGGAACACTGTTGGCTATTTTGACGTTTTTTGCAAGTTTTCAAATTTGTTCGCCACAGGCACGAGTGTAAGAGGCCTGGACAACACGGGATGGCAAACACTGAGGGCCATTACCTTGATAATAGAGCGGCTGAAAGTCTTAGGAAAACAACAAATAGAGAAACAAGTTTGCCAAAAACGACACCTCCCTTCGCGTGGCACGAGCAGAACAATAGCAGCGTTGTGTTTCAGCCATCGTTTCGTATTTTTCTACTTTATGAACAATATCCCTCAGAAATCAAGCAACAAACAATATTGTGGACAAACTAACACAGTGAGAGGTCCATGGAATGACAGGTTGAAGTGTTGGCATTGTTAGTTCGAGCTAGCGAAGCAGTTAGTCTGTATGTGGCATGACTCGTCGCTGCAAGTATGTTTACACGGTTGAGAATCAGGGGGGCGCACCGAGAAATTATTCACAAACCCACTGGTGAAACATTTTGATCCTGCTTACGAAATTATTTCGAGATCAAACGAGTTCTCATGCAAATTGCAAGCGTTTCTAAACAAACTCGGAAAAAGAGCACAAAACGACAGGATGATTGCAAAGTGACGTGGCAGATCATAGGTGATTATGATAAGATTCAGGGATTAAATTTTGATCAATTTTGACCATTTGGGCAAGTTTGATGAGTTAAACAAACAGACAGAGACGCTCTCGCGACACCAACCTGCGTGCCGAGATACGGATGCTATCTGGATGGTTAATTAACTACAACATAACACTAGTGGGGAAATATTTACAATGCGCAAATTAATTTACTAATTGGTTATAGGCGTCTTCGCTCAATCAGATTTTTGCTCAATGGGCAATTAATTAGTGCCGCACATCTGAGGAGGAATGGGAGTTGGCTGTAATACCCATCCCGCCGTGCCCTCACCGACGATCAAATTTCAATTAATGAAAACCCAGTCCTTATTGGAGTCGTTGGTCCATTGCTTGAATTAGGGGCAGTCAATTTCACCCGGTAAACAAATTATATCCTGTTCACAGAATCCTTTCCTTTTGGCACTTTGACGGTTCTAAAACCTGAAAGAGTTCTAGCATTAAGTGATGATTAGATGATGCGCTTTCTCCGCCATAGAGCAACCAAACTAGTAAATCTTCCTCGGAGCAGACAAGGCGTGATGCTTATTGATAAAGATGGTTATTTCAGTTGTTTGAACGCGAATAATCATTCTTCTTATGGGGAAGACATATAATGGAAACCGTGTCTGTCATCACGAGGTTAATGATGGGGAGATGATAATGAATAGCTATTGTCTTAGACCAATCAAATATCGCCTTTCAAGCGATGAGTTCATATACTATACATACACCTATTACAGTTTTATGCAAATGACCATTGATTTTTTTTATATGAATTTAAAGCATACATACATGTATATCATTTCCACATACATATATACTACTCAAAAGAAGTTAAAGAACACCCGATTCCTCCATATTACTACAGTTAATCTGTCATGGCTTGTCAGATGTAACTACAGTTGTATGAAAGAGTGTTCTTTAACTTCTTTTGAGTAGTATATGTATTGGTGATGGTCGATGTGGGAACTCATTATTCAACAGAATAAATATACATCTAAGATAGCAAACATATGTACATATATTGATGGGGATAAAAGGGAGTCATATTAATATCGCAGTATAATGCTGCAGGCAATGCCATTGTGTGTTACCATGATAAGTGAGTGAGTGAGTTGTGTTTAACCCCGCTTTTAACAGTATTCTAGTTATGTCACGACGTGTCTGCTAAATGTGGGAGGAAAGCCCGAGGTGATGCAGGTCTCAGACGTTTACCACTTCGGTGAAACCCACGAGCACGGGTACGGTGCTGATAAACCAAGAAACATAATCGGGGCGAACTGGGATTCGACCCCCCCGCCAGGTGGTGGGAGAATGGAGGTGTCAGGTGTGCCGAGAAATTAACCGATAATCTCCAGAAATGTCGAATGTCGTGTCAAGCAAATCCCCTTTATATACCCACTCTTACTCATTTCCGTTTCATATTCTGACATTTACACCGGACCGGCCTTATACAACCGTGTATGTATGTATATATACATGTATGAAGAAAAATATTTTATTAAAGTGCCACACATTGTAAAATGACAAGTATGACAATCCAACTAGTTATAAAACGTATACAATGTCATGATCAGGTCATGTGGCCTATACGACACATAACACAGCATAGATACACATAAGCATAAAATAACAAGGAACATGTACAGGTTGAAATATAGACTCGCGTGGTTAACGTTTCATTTTACTTATGATAAGGTGGGGTTATAACGAAATCTTTTGTTTTCTTCTCAGAAATATTTGCTTTTATACGATAACATAAGATAAGATATAGATTATAAACGTGTCACAAAGTATGCATTAAAAATAAACCATATATAAAATACAATATAAAAACACTTTCCAGCCATGACTGGCTTACGAGTCACGACAAAATTCCTGAAATATGTTTTTATAGAATAATTAATTTTGAAAAAAATGTTTTCGTTTTTCATAAAAGTCATAAATAAAAACAAAAAATGCCCAAACAAATAAAAAAGTATACAATACCCCCATGAAGATATGAATATTAGTTATTAGTTTTAAGGAAAATTACAAATGTCATATTATAATAATTTAGTTGTACTGTTTTTTTCGTTTAAATGAAGATTAAAAATTTACGGCAAAAGGATGACATAATTCTTTACTTGACATACTAAATGTCAATGGTAACATTAGTGTGAATAGCTGGTTCATATCCATAGGAAGGCAAATATATGTAGTCTCAGGTCAGCATAATGTCCACACGAGGAAAGAAAATGCTCTTCATCCTTTATAGCAGAGGAGGAACAGAATTTACATATTCTGTTATCTAAGCGAAATTTCGGACGAGAAGAGCGGCCTATATGTATGACTTGATCCCGTTCTGGCCGCTCTGGGGCGCCTGTATGGTACACTCCGGCGAGAGACAGAGGAGCGGAGAAACCCGTAATCTGTCACAGATTAATCGCTCTGATCCGCTATATGACGCATTTAAATGGATTACTTCAGGGATTAGGTAGTTCATAGACTCCTCAAGGTGTTAAATACCATATCCAGCCGTCGCATGTTAATCAAGATCTCCTGTATACATGGTCTTACAACAAGAGAGAGGTAGATTATTACAGGTTGTGGAGAAACGCCAATTAACGCCAGTGATGCCTTGCTAGTCCCAGGTGGTAATCTCGGTGCTAACTCCCGCACATATGGCCACCGATGTCGTGCCTCTCGTCTATAGCATGTGGCCTGCCTTATCTCGGCTACACGGGCTAAGGAGAGAAATTACACTCTTAATTGGATTAATTAAAACCCGCAACAGTTAAGATTGCTAGTTTATCGTGTAGGATTAGCGCTTTAGTTTGCTTTTTGACAAGCGGTACCCCGACAACGCGCGACGTGTAAGCAGAGGTAACACCCACTATAATAGATTCTTACCCAGCCTACAATATCTCCCTAGTTGAAGCACGGAGAGAAAGCCGATCTGTCTGATAGACACAGCTCCTTACCACGCACCTGTGTAGCGACACCCAACCCGATACCCATAACTGGATACAGGTGATCGCTGCTATCATCGGGTTGTTAGAATTAGCGAATGTCACAAATTGTGGACAATTAACGATAAATGGGCCTATTCGCCGATACAAGGCATTACGTGTAAGTCCTAACTAAATAGCTGGGCAGACTTTCAACAAAAGCTCGGGCCCAATAAAGGATCTATGCTTGTCCGTGTGTTGAACAGAAGCTTATATTATGAACCCTCATACCTGTGGGTCGCCGTGTTTCCACCCTCAACCCGTTCCCGCTCACCCGGGGGATAAATCGCACCTTGATAATGTCTCCGTTAACACTAGCCACAGTAGGTCGAGGGGAAGGTGTTGGTTATCACTCAATCTCACACCTCCGGGAGGCGTTATCACACAATGCTGGAGGTGTGAAATTTCAGAATAACAAACCAGTACATATTCCGCAAATGAAGGCAACATGTAAATAAATTACTTGACATTCTTGCCTTGATTGTTTACTGACGTTTAAAATCAGATTTATTGGTGAGGGTTAGTTGTAGAAATATATTAGTGGTGTAGGTTTAATGGCCCCAGCTGTGTGAGCGTGGTATGGTGAGACACATCTGACACAACCTTGGCATCTCATCTTTGAATACAACACGTCGCGGGGATATAAATGGTCGGCTACAGGCTCTGACACACGTTGGCTACAGTCTCGGGCACATGTTGGCTACAGGCTCTGACACATGTTGGCTACAGGCTCTGACACATGTTGGCTACAGGCTCTGACACATGTTGGCTACAGTCTCGAACACATGTTGGCTGCAGGCTCTGTCACATGTTGGCTACAGTCTCGAACACATATTGGCTACAGTCTCGGGCACATGTTGGCTACAGGCTCTGACACATGTTGGCTACAGTCTCGGGCACATGTTGGCTACAGTCTCGAACACATGTTGGATGGATGACACACAGAAACACCGACTACTCTACTTAAACCCCAAGGTGAGGTGAGGTGAAATTGAGTTTAACGTCGCGTCCAAGATTATTGCACTTATATAGCGACGTGCATGCACGTGTATGTGTGTGTGTGGCTGCTTGTACTAGTCCGGACTGATGCCGATTTATAGTGCTAGCTCACTGAGATACCATGCCGCAGTTTAACATGAATACCCCACTCAGACACAGTATACTGACTCCGAGCCGACCAGTCCTTGTTTTAGCCCCTTAATGCCGAGCGCCAGACAGGGTAACAACAAGTACAATCTTTTAACGTCTTTTTGTATGACGCGGCCCGGGATCGAACCCTGGACCTTCCGCTCTCCGGGCGGACGCTCTACCACAAGACCACGGAGGCGGTCTTAAACCCCAAGGAATACTTGCTCTTGGTTTTGAGAACAAACTATTCGTGTTAAATGAAGAAACAAATAATGTCGTGTTATTTACCCCCCACCCCCCACCCTCACCCCCATATCCCCCACCCCGATACCCCCCCCCCCCACCCCCAACAAACAACAAAGAAACCAGCAAGATAAATCACAAGCAAAATAAAACTAAAAACAGATACAACATAAAAATTGATAAAAAACACGATAAATAAATATACTCTGATACATAAAAATACATGTGTTGAAAGAAGAATTAAATTAACATGTTAAGCAATTTATTATAATATATGAATAAAGTATTTAAATTCTTAAAATAAGTGAAATGGAGTTAGAATTGTCTGTTCTTTTAGCGACACCAGTTCAAAGATACATATTCCTGCTATCTATCAATACACATAGACATTTGAATGATATCAACACCACATAGAAGAAAAATGAGAGTAATTGTTCTTTTTCATTATTTGGTATCGTACGAACTTTGACCAATAACTGCCTCCACTCAGACAATCTTTTGTATTGTTAGATCACCGTTTTGAACAGTGTTACAGATATACCCTGACGTACAAGGTTTATATGAGACAAAATGATGTAGGTAGTTAACGCGTACCACAAAACTGTAACCTACGAGCACGGGTAAGATGTAATCAGGTTGTATCAAGTCAGCGGATCCTGTGGCGGTAAAGGGACGCAACACTCCATAGTAAATTACTGCGCTTAAGGATTCTTGGACAGCCATACTCCCATGCACATAACTTTCTTCTACTAGTAAATTCTAAAAAATTTGTTTAGATATATAATAAATTATTCTTGTTTTGCAGGTAAAGATCTGGTTCCAGAATCGGCGCATGAAGTGGAAGCGGAGCAAGAAGGCTGCCATGGAGGCTAAATGCGGGAAGGAGGAGGACAAGACGCGGTTAGAGGGGACAGACAAACGCACAGACGCACACAAAGTGACGGACGGCGGGGACGAAGTGAACGGTGATAACATTGACGTTACGGAAGTGGACATGGATGATTCGGCGGAGACGGAAATAGACGACAACGAGGACAGTGATAACGAAATGTGTGTTTCCCAGAATTCCACAAACTCTGACCTTGTTTCCGGTGTGTCAATACCGACGTCGAATGGCCGATGTTCTGTCGTTCAGCCTGCACATGCCTGATGCAGAGGAAGGCATTGCGAATTCTTTTTATTGGAAGATCATCATCATCTGATTCCATCACAAAGAGAGACATGGCAATATCTTGGAGTCTTCGTGGGATGCGGACTTCACGCATTGTGTTCACGTGGCGGCCCACAATGTCCCAGGACAAAGTGAATCTCACAGAAACACGATGGCACCAGGTGGCAGTGTGTATCTCAGGTCCAGGCCTGACGGACGTAAGTACACGCAGCCGTGTCGATTGTGAAACAGGCCATGCGGATGTTAACATACGCATCCGTTTCTCGTGGCTCAGATCAGGAGGATAGTACCACACACGGCATGGTGGCTGTTTAACAGGTCATGCGGGCCCAAAGATGAGGGATAAGCACAGGAGACCGAGTCTTCTGTGGATCAGGCCAAGAGGACTTTGCACAGGCAACCGTGTCTTCTATGGATCAGGCCAAGAGGACTTTGCACAGGCAACCGTGTCTTCTATGGATCAGGCCAAGAGGACTTTGCACAGGCAACCGTGTCTTCTATGGATCAGGTCAAGAGGACCACAGCACAAGCAACCGTGTCTTCTGTGGATCAGGTCAAGAGGACCACAGCACAAGCAACCGTGTCTTCTGTGGATCAGGTCAAGAGGACCACAGCACAAGCAACCGTGTCTTCTGTGGATCAGGTCAAGAGGACGTCAGGACACGAAATCGTGTCGATTGTGAATATGACATCTAGAATCTAACGCCAACGCGTAGACCTTGACCTTAGAAGGTCTTGATTCTTGAGAGATGATGAATATACTTAAATGACATCTAATTATCAGTGCCAACTCCATGACGTCGCCAACATCAGTATTTCCTCTAGCCTGACTGGCCATATGTTTTGTTACTCATTGTAGCCTGTCAGACATGTTATCAATGTTCAACCACTTCTTAAAGTCTATCGATTGCAAAATGTGGGTGATGTATTCTCAGGGTTTAAGACACCTGTCTCATTGAGCACCGACGATGAGGTTAAGCGTACCGAACTATTGCAGTCCTAATAGGAAGTTCTGTTGAAGTAAAGAATAGAGGATTTAAACAATTGTAGCATTATTGCCCAATGTAAATATGATCTGAATGAATGAAGAGGGTGAACTACGAACCTCCTCTCTGCTAGCTGTTGTTATCATGTGTATATTTTCCGATGCATGGCAGTCGGATATTATGTGTTAAATAAATTAATATGTAGAACTACTATGCTTTTGTTTTTAATTCACTCTGCTTTCCCGTTGAAGGGTATGTGTCGTGTAGTATCGGGTCTAGCTGAATAGTATGTTGTGTGCACACTGTTCTTTCTCCACACTGTAACCGAGGGCGGATGCACTAGCCATTAGGCTACGATTACTTTTTTGCAGCTTCGCGGGTTTCCTTCCTCTTACAATGGCGTCAACTGTTACGCTACTGTTACAGCGGCGTCACATACTACCCCATGTTACAGCGGCGACACATATTACCCTCCTGTTACATCAGCGTCATATATTACCCTCCTTTTACAGCGGCATCACATATTACCCTCCTGTTACAGCGGCGTTACATATTACCCTCCTGTTACAGCGGCGTCACATATTACACTCCTTTTACAGCGGCATCACATATTACCCTCCTGTTACAGCGGCGTCACATATTACCCTCCTGTTACAGCGGTGTTACATATTACCCTCCAGTTACAGAGGCGTCATATATTACCCTCCTGTAACAGCAGCGTCATATATTACCCTCCTGTAACAGCGGCGTCACATAACACCATCCTGTGGCAACGGCGTCACATATTACCCTCCGGTTACAACGGCGTCACATATTACCCTCCTGTAACAGAGGCGTCATATATTACCCTCCTGTTACAGCAGCGTCATATATTACCCTACTGTAACAGCGGCGTCACATAACACCATCCTGTGGCAACGGTGTCACATATTACCCTCCGGTTACAACGGCGTCACATATTACCCTCCTGTAACAGAGGCGTCATATATTACCCTCCTGTAACAGCGGCGTCACATAATACCATCCTGTGGCAACGGCGTCATTTATTACCCTCCGGTTACAACGGCGTCACATATTACCCTCCTGTTACAGAGGCGTCATATATTACCCTCCTGTTACAGAGGCGTCATATATTACCCTCCTGTAACAGCGGCGTCATATATTACCCTCCTGTAACAGCGGCGTCACATAATACCATCCTGTGGCAACGGCGTCATTTATTACCCTCCGGTTACAGCGGCGTAATTTATTACCCTCCGGTTACAATGGCGTCACATATAGTAAACTGCATTTATAACGAACACGCTAATAACGAACTGACTGATATAACGAACTGTTTTTTGGCGCCGTCCATATGCTGTATATATGCTGTATATGTGCTTATAACGAACTACGGTTATTACGAACTAAATTTAGCGGTCCCTTTAAGTTCGTTATAACTGTAGTTTACTGTATTATCCTCTTATTAGAGAGGCGTCACTACTGACTCTCCTGTTGCAGCGTCGCCAAACACAGTGGATCACATTTGACGTACGATCAGTCATCGTTTATCTTTAATACTAATCAGGTTTAAACGATTTAATTAATTTTCAATTCAGAATAAACACCAAAGTACCCCAGAGTCACGAAAACATCGCACGATTTATTACCTGCTCGTTCATGAAGCTCTCAACTGCAGTAGTAGCTATAAGACGTCATAGCGTGCCAACTTTAACTATTTCAGCCTATTACATCCTGAAGCTATGAAAATATCGTACTTAAATAAGGATATATAGTCAAAGGATACATCACTCTATCGTGACATTAAGTGCGAACTTTTAAACAATATCCCCTCTTCATGATCGACTCCTTCTTAACCTGACTCGTTCCGTTCCTCAAAACACTGCCCCTTCTCGTCACGCGAAGACTCTTTTTATTACAAAATGCCTCTTCCGTCGTAACATGGTCCCAGTACTTATACGGTGTACATGATCCTGCTCCCCATCCTTGCATCTTCATGCCGCGTGTAATGGCCACAACAACCACTAGTCTTTGCTGTAACCTTCTTATGTCAAACATTCCGTGCGACATTTCATAAAACGGCATTTACTGCACGGACTACTTGAACTATGAACTAAATCAAAGCAGGAACTATTCATTTCATGGCCTAATAATTCTACCGAATCCTACGTAATCGAGATCAATAATGTCCTAGTTTGCTAATATAACAGATTCGGGGTATATTAAGTATTGTCGATAGCTCCCTTATATTACACACCACTTGCACATAACATTAGATAACATTTGGCGACAATTTCCATCTATGCGGAATACCCCAAAGCAGGTTTTATACCTTTTCAATAAAATCAAACTTCTTCAGACACATAACATCGTCATTTTACGCCACTTCTCCTTATTTTTGTATGTTTCTAATTCCATAAGAGTTTTTAGACGTCCATGACTATTTGATTGCGGAATTTCTGCGATCTCGCTCTGACCTCTAAAGTAGAAGACGGCACTTTTAAAGATATTTTCTTCGACACTTGCAGCTTCTCTGCTCGTATCGACGGAATATTAGCCTACAAATTGCGATCACTTTACCTATTCGTCGATAGTTATTCGCCACACGAGACCCGAAATCGACGGAGATCAGAGTGAAATAGCACCGCCAATACTTAGCCCATCACCATTAAGTTAAAGTAACGAGAAAAGTCTCTGAGATTAACGAGAATGTCACTACGGCGGCCCGAGAGGTGAGGACCTCTGGGATTCGAACTCAGCGCCATTAAAGCTGCTGTGGAATATATAGCCTCAGCCTGCCCAGCCTCGGAGGAGTCAAGTTGCCCGCGTGGAGGCTGAGACGATTTTTTCAGTCTAATTCTAATGAAAAAACTATTTGTTGGCATACATACGTACTTGGTATTGTTTGGTAGCGTCGCACAGTCAATCTTACCTCTACTTTGATGTCGTGATTATGAGCATGTGGGAAAATACCACACGGAGTTCAGACAGAAAGATTGCATGAAAGAAATATCCACTGGGGCGTTAAAAGTTGAACTGTCTGAGTTTCTTTCTGCTTCCATAATAAAATATATGTATGGGTATATCTACCCTTTGTGCAATGGTTCAACCACACCATCGTCATCAACGTCGTTGTCGTCATCATCATCGTATTAAAGAGAAAAACGTTACCTTATATGAAAACACAACCTGACAAAATTGGAATTGTGTTTTCCTGCTTGGCTGTCCTTACAAAACTCACATTTGCCATCGTCTTCACTTATCTTATTTTAAATATGAGTAAGGAATGCGATTAGAAGACAAAAGCATTGTACGACCTTACTCCAAGCCACTATACATGTGTTCCTGGGTCTAATCAGCTTCACAACGAGGCTCAACATTTCTATACTCGCCCTGCCTTTTTTTATATGAGCAATGTTAGCAAATATTACCTATCTATGATACTAATTTCAAACTGCAGGGTGTGCGGAATATTTTTTCACTTGGGCCACCTGTGAGGCAGATACGTTTACCTTTAACACCTGGTATCATTGCTATTATTATATTATCGTTATAGTGATTCATAAACACATGTGCATTATAGAGCCCGAAACAATGGACAGTGGATTTCTTATGATTATGGAACTGTTTTTTGTCGCGTTTTTCACCACGCAAGAAAGATACATGAATATAGCAATATTGTTCTGAATCTATAAATACATGTTGTATTTGACCTTGGTCAGATCTGAAGTGAATGCTCATGGAAATGTAGGTTCGCAGTAAATAAAGCGACGAAACCCTTTCCATCTCCAATAGAAATATCTGCATAAAGCAGAGTCCATTGTACGATTTCCTACTCTACATGTGGTAAATTCAAAATAGGGAATTGCATCGAAACCATTTTTGTCAAATTTGGAAATATCGTCCCCATGTCTACAATAAAACATAACACACAACTTTAATTTTTTCTTCAGTGAGTACTATGATCCCACAAAGAAAGACATCCGTTGTGTCTTATCTTGACTACACATATATTCTCTTTTCGTTCTGGTGTGAGTATAAATCTAGACTTAAACGTTTTTTCTTTTGTAATTGTCTTTTCCAAAAGCTCTGAACTGGGTTTTCGCCTGGCTCATCAGTACAGCACATGTCTGATTTACGGGATTTATTCCAGTAATATATCGTTATATCTCTGCACGTAAGTCTTCCCGTAATGACACGTGCAATAGTTAGCCATGTTTTATTGTTGTATTATGCAAATATTGGATTAGGAACACTCCCGGAGTAAATGATCTAAGTACATGTAAGCTTCGTGGACCAGAACGTGATCAGTATCCAGGGTTGTTGAAATCAAACTGATGTGATATATTGTAAATGGATAGTTTTGAAATAGCTTTTGTTAACAACATATTGCCGATCTAAACATTACCGTGTGGAGTATAACGCACTTCCTAGGTTTCTTAAGTCTCTGTACTAGCGGGATATTAAGGTATTTAAGAGGAGGAGGTTGATGTATACTTACACAGGTACATTTAGCTCACAATTTCACTCACACGCATCGTAAACTTACGCTGATGTGGAGACGGTTTGAAGAAAGTAAAGATATATGTAGATGAGCGTGAATATTTATACCCATATCAATGTGCAGTCACATGTGGAGATTCATCCCGCTGCCGATTAGTGCGAACGGAATCTAACTAATTAGTCCTCTGTTGCCTTCGTGATCGCTGTAAATTGCCAAAACAAGTTTATAGAATTGCTTACAAATCATTTCAAGGATGGCACCAGCCTACATCTTAAGTGCTTTAATTCTGGGAAAGTTCGTGTAATATCATAACCAAAATATTGCCCAGCTAAGCATTAGAAATAAATAGGAATCCGATACAATCATAGCCTTATCCCTCATAGACAAATGGGCTCCGCGCTGACAAGGGGCCATTAGAATTCTTTGGACGGGACTATAAAGCTAACAGTAGCCGCTGGACCCCAAGTCAAGCATGAAAAGATTGGAGAACACACACGTAAAGACGACGGGCGAGTCGGGGGAATGGGCTAGCGTGCTGGTGATTGATCGGGAGGAGAACGGCGGGAAATCACACAAGATGAAAGTGAAATGATCCACAATGGGCAATTTCTCGTGATCAAAATACAGAGAGCGATAATGTCGGAACGGCATCCTGTGCCATCAGGGGACTAACTCTCCACTAACACT